ATTAAGCTATCACTTCTCTAGGCTAAATAAGTCAAAGTTCAAAAGTTACTGAGCAGTTAAAAATGTTTTGTTTGCAGTATTTAAGGCTGAACCACACAATCTGATCTAAAGGCTCGTCAGATCAATTGGAAGCCTTGCCATTGACTTTAATGGCTTTTTGGATACAACCCTAAGCTGGGCAAAACTGTAAATTTCATTCAAGAGACTTGAATCTCATTGAGGAGGTTTTTCAGATCTCAGTGAAAGGTCACTGAAATGTCAAAAGACACTTCATATCTGCTTACCTGAAGGAAGAGTTATGCTCAAACTTTAACATCTTGGTTGCTGATCGCAATAAAATTCTTTAAAGTTTTTTTTTTTTTCTCACGCAATTTGAATGGTTTGTGCTGTGAGACGTTCAGCTTCTCATGACAAAGGCAGCCTCTCAAAATGGGTTGCACACATTCATGAATCAGGCTGAAACATGCTGGAAATACGCACAGCCAAATCCCACATAAACATTTACCACTGGTGGTACTCAAATGGAAAGCAAGGTCTAGGATTTTTGCCTTTTGTGCCCTCGTTGACAATACAGGGACTGAAACCAAAATGTAAACTGAAATTATTTATTCAGATCCCCCCCTTTTTTTTTTTGCTGATTCCTTTTGTGTAGGATCATTGCTATGGGTCAAAGTTTTATGTGTAACTCTCTGCCCCATGTTGCATTGGAAATGGACTTCTGGATTCAATAAATGTGACTCATCTCCGTAGACCACTTCCAGGTGGTTAGTCATTGCTGGTTTATCACTGGTGGTGAATAACTCGGCCAGTAGTAAATTCAGCTCCAAAAATCAACGCTCAATCTGCAGAGCAAGAAAAAATATATTTCACAAACAACATCAGCTTCGTTGGTGCTGACCCAGCAGAAGCGACCTTGGCAGAGTACCTGGCACAGGAGACTGTAGCAGAAGGCCCCGCGGGTGGTAAGCCCGGCACTTCTCCCCATGCCCGCTCCCTGGCACGTGGGAATCGCTGCGGTGCCCCCGGCACGGAGTGAAGCAACTTGACCAACTCTCTTGAAGCGTCACTTGAGAAGGTGTCTCGTGAGGGGAGGATGGATCCAGAGCAATCTGGCTTCAGATACCTATACATTGTTTTGTCAGAAAACTTGTACAAACTCTGTGGGTTCCTGCCAGTGTGCTCTTCCCAGCATAATCATGTAACTTATTTGGCCAGCACTCGGTTTAAAGTAAAGCTTGAAAACAAAATTCTTGTTTGCTTGTTTATATGCCGAATTTCCTGTGCTTTGGTGTGCTGTTTATATTTCTATTCTAATTTCGGAGTATGAAGCAGACAATTTGACTCTGTTGTCCTTCTTCCCAGGAACATAGTATAACAATATTTATAGCTGGGTATAAATAAACTTTGTTTTGTTTCTGGATCCCACAGTTGACCAATAGACTCATTTTTGTGTAGTTAATAATATATGCCCATGTTCTGCATGTTAAGACTAAAAAAAGAAAGCTAATTTGGTTTTGCAGGGAATGGGAAAGAAACACTATTTTTCATATTTTCATTACTTTCTCCCCATGCTTTGCCATAAAAGCCCACAGATATTCACTGATATATGAATATCACTGAACTTAACTCAGCCTCTGAGTTAAGTAGTTAAGCATAACCTGCTGCTCGCTGTTCTAGCTTAGGCGTATTTGATGTCTAAGACTGATCATTTGCACCAAACTCTGAAGAGCTAGATGAATGAAATGCAGAGATCATTTTCACTAAAATAACTTCATCAGATGCACCAAGTCACCCAAGGGCAAACTTTTTTTAAAGGATTGTACTAGATCCTACCTTAAATGGTAAGTAATACAGAGAGCAAACAGTTCTGGGCTGCTGATTTATCTAATACACTTAATAACCCCCCCCCACACACCCCAGTCAATTCCCTTTATTTGTGACGAGTTCAGGAAGAAAAGAATCTGTAGTTTGTACAATTTCAATTAAATCCACTATATTACAAAGATAACAGATTTTCCTTATTTAGTTAGTTTTTTATTTTGCTTTTATTTCCATGTTTAATTTTTTGTTTTGTTTTGTTTTAGCGGTTTATTTCTATCTGGAGAAAGACTAAGGAGATATTAAAATTCTCACAACAGATTGTGATTTTAGGAAGTTTTCTATCTATCTCAGGTTCAAGAACTGTGGCACAAAAACATATTTTAACCAAATCATGCCCAGCTGAGGAAACTGGTCAGTGGCCCAGCTCTTTTACTGGTGGGAATGAGATCTGTTTTCATTTCCTCAAATAACACTCGGATGACCTCTTTTGCCCTGAATCGCCTGGTACACATCCAAGCAGATTTTTGCCTATTCTGGCCGAAATAAGTGAATTCGACATAGGTGAGCCACGAGCTGCGGGTGCAGAGCGAGCGCTTGCTCCATGGCTTGCCGGTGCCAGACAAGCGCTCCGTGTTCGGCACAGGCTGGCTGCGCTTCTCTAAGGAAGCTACCGTCGAGGAAGACACGTGAGGAGCTGCTGCGGAGGATCATCCAGACGGCAGGTGAAACGCTTTCCCGAGGCCGTGAAGTGTGACGGCCGTGTAGGAACCCGCGGAGCAAACAGGAAAATTAGCTGTTTAAAAAGCCTAGCTCATATTAAAATGCAGATCCAAATTTGTACGGTCTTAGGGGGTTTCTTGCACTGTATTTGGAAAGAAAGAGTTTTATATCCTAGCAGACAAGATGGTCCCTTGCCCCTTTTACCTCTGGCTCCCGCCGCCTTGGCCCAGCGCTGAGACGCCCTGCTAAATCCTGCCCGTCCCCACGGTTTTGCACGAGGGGTTCGCCGTAGGGCTGCAAAGTCCTCTGAGCCCACCCCACCGCGCTGATGCACCCGGCAGAGCAACCCGCCGAGCACGGGGGCTTGGCAGTGCAGGAGGGGACACAGCAACTGCCCGGCTCCACTTTAGGACAGCGGGAAAATTGCACCGTGAAAAAAAAATCTGCCAGCAGTTTTCACCTGGGCTCATTAGTTTTCTCCTTGACTGCATGTGTCTTGTTCCTCTCGAAGTCAGCGGCCGCTATTGGACAGGCTAAGGGGAGGGTTTAGCCTCTATTTCTGTAGGAGAGAAGGGCTTAAAGCAAAAATTAAGATAATCGAAAAATCAAGCTATTATAAACAAACTCTTGCCAAAAAAAATTAAGAGGCTGTTTTTAGAAGTTAGAAGCACCTCTGTTGCATGAAATTGCTAACTTAAAATAAACAGATAAGGCTGGTCAAATTGCAGAACACACCCCTCGAAATCTGCACGCTTATAAATTCGGAAAGGGGTTTTCTCAGCATCGTTGGGAGTGCAGGTAGAATGAGGCCCGTGCTGCCCTTTGCTTGGCTGCTGCTGCTGCACGGAGGATGCCTGCAGGGCTCAGGTACTGTGCCCAGCGCGTTTCAGCGCTGCTCCCTCTCTCTTTGGTTACCCTGTAAAATCCATAGTGGCAAATTTTGTACCCTGACTCAAAGCCCACTGAAACCAGTGGACATCTTCTGGGTTTAGTGGGCTTGAAGGACTGAATGTGCGACCAAACATTTATATGACTTTGCTTAACGTAGTGTTGGAAACGCTCTTCTGAGAACAAAGTCATATGATAAGTAATTAATTTTATATAATGCACTGGAGGGGCTTAGACAAAAATATGATGACAGATAGAAAGGGGACACCAGCAAGCAGGTAAGAACAGTGTTATTTTGCAGCTTTGCTATGTTCTCACTCCAGGCTGCTCCAGAACCCTGTTAAAAACTGAGCGTGGCTCCTTCTGTTCTGGATTCTCAGTGTGACTGATTTAATTTTCTAATGTTTCATAGAATATTTCAAAAGAAGGGCAAGACACCTCTTCTAAGCTGTAAGAGCATCTCCTACACATTTTTTTCTGTGACTACTATGCATGGAGCTCTTTTTTACTAAGCTGGATCGTAGAGATCCAAATGTGCCTGGAAAAATAGTTCTTTTTTTTCTTCAATGTCTTCCGTAACAGTTTAGATTTGGTAAATTTTATTACTGAAGGAGAAAATCAGTAGGAGACCTGTAGATTTCTTAATATATAAATATATATATATATATGTACGCATGTATGAATGACGCTGCTACATGAATGACGCTGCACAAGGGAAGTGCTCAGTGTTATGTGGCACTGGGACTGCAAATAATAACGGCGAAATGTGGTTTGATTGCAGAGATTTGATTTTGAGTTGGATCACAGATAGGCAGAATTTAAGCAGGCCTCCACAGGGCTGCGCGGCCCCGCTCCGCTCTCGTGCTTGCTCCCCCCGCCACCGCCGTGCCCTCTTTGGGTCCTGCACAACCCCTGCCCCTCTCCCGCAGGTGCCCTCGGCGTTTGGTTTCCTTGGCGCTTACCTCCAGCCTGCCGGGTCTAGGATCTCAGCAGCAGACTAGCATTTAAAGCATCACACGTTCGCAGGGAGCTGTGGGCGTGCAGCGGGCTCAGGCCACGAGTGATGCAGGTCTGGGCGCGCTCCAGCACCAAGGGGTAGCCCAGTGGTCTCCACCGAGAGGCTCTCCTTTGCCAGGGCAAAAGGCATCACCAAGGGGCCCCAGGCACTCAGTTTCCCCCCCATAGCCCAAATGCTGACAGCAGTGGCCTGCTATGCTATTCTGAGCACCAGCTTCCTTGTGTTGTCCGTCACTGCCAGGAAAAGCACAACTCGGCATGCTGGATTCCCCAGATGATGTTGGTTTTGTATCAAGGCAATGCTAAATCCATGGACTTGCCATACAGGTGCGCAAGTCGCTCACTCTTGGAAGATGAAAAGTCTTTAAAGCCGGGCCTGTAAACACTGGAGCTCAAGTGTGGTGAGCAGGACAAGTTAGAGCACACTTTCCTTCATGATACGCTCATCAGAAAGCTGTTGGAAAGCAATTCCTGGGGTGGCCTGAGCTGCAGGTGTCAACGAAAACCCAGCAGCCCCTCTAGCCATTGATACCATTTGCTTTTTCCTTCCACAGAACTGCTGCTGCGGCTGGTGAACGGGCAGAACAGGTGTCAGGGCCGCGTCGAAGTGCATCACGACGGAGCCTGGGGGACCATCTGCGATGACTCCTGGGACACGGCCGACGCCGACGTGGTGTGCGGCCAGCTCGGATGTGGCAGAGCCGCCGCAGCGCCGGGGGAAGCTCATTTCGGCCACGGCACGGGGGAAATCCTCCTGGACGAGGTGCAGTGCCGCGGGAACGAAGCCTCCCTCTGGCAGTGCTCCCACAACGGCTGGGCCGTCAACGACTGTCTGCATCAGGAGGACGCCGGTGTCATCTGCACGGGTAACTGCCCAGTCACGAGGGTCAGCGAGCAGCAGCAGGCTATAAAGCTGTGCCAGGCTGAGGTTCTGGTGCTCCGCAGAAGGGCATTAAACTACCAAAGTTGCTGTCAAGCTTGGCAGGACGTCCCAGAACTGTTCCCCTATGTTTCAGCAAATACTTCTTTCTGTAAACCACACGTTAGCCTTCCTGTTTAAAATCTTTAACTAAAGAAATTCTAAGAAGTAGGACATTTACATGGATTTTTTCTGTAGAGTATAATGCCATTCAGAGGATTAGTCACCTTGCCATTCGCATTGCTTTCTAGCTAAAGGATGAATTCAATTGATTGTTCGTAAGTGTCACTGAAAAAAAAAACTAAAAATTTCTTTATGAAATGTAGGAAAATCTTTCATGAGACTTTTTTTTTATGTTCAACATATATACTACTATACATTCAAAAAAAAGCTAATAAAAACAAAATTCCAGTGTACTGAGGGCTGTTTTTCTAGCAGCGCAGGTAAACTAAGAATGTTTTTTGAATGTTTTTTCTCATTTTGTTTAGTGTAAGTCATTAAAAATGTGATATTTCTCACTCTGTTCTCTCTTTTTTTCAGCTTCCATGATGTCTGAAATTCCTGGTAATTTCACTTTATATATTTTTTACTTTACTGATCAAGTAATTTTGCCTAATATAGTTGTTTAATAGCAATGAACAACTTATGAAGAGGAGCATTAGTAAATCTATTTGTCAACCTCTTCCCCCATATACAATTTTAGTTAATATAGCTCAGACTTTCAGAATATGCTTTGCTATGAGATTTTTAACAATACCATACATGAATCCTAACCTATTGTTAGGAGTATGCTGTATTTCCAAGTTTTTACTGAATTCATGTGAGTTTAATACCACAATTTTGAATCCAAAAAAAAAAAAAGATAGCAAGCATTTTAGCCCAATCTCCTGCCTTCAATTTGATTATCAGGTCCAGAGCAAAACTAAAGCATGGTTAATGTCATCTGTCTTTGGGAAGTTCTTATTCGTGCCTTGGATTTGCAACAGTCACCTGCAAGCCTGATGATATGGGTGTGCCCCGATGAAAATCGTTCTCTTTTTTTGCCTTCCAAAGAGTTGTCCCTGAGACTGGTGAACGGCCAGAACCGGTGCGAGGGCCGCGTCGAAGTCTACTACCAGGGCAGCTGGGGAACCGTCTGCGACGACTCCTGGGACCTGACGGACGCCCAGGTCGTCTGCAGCCAGTTGGGCTGCGGCAGGGCTGTTTCCGCCCCTGGAAATGCCAATTTTAGCCAAGGCTCAGGAAATATCCTGCTTGACGATGTGCACTGCAAAGGGAACGAGGCTCACCTCTGGGAGTGCCCCAGCAGAGGGTGGTCTGTGCATAACTGCGTGCACGTGGAAGATGCCAGCGCCATTTGCTCAGGTGTGTTTTAGCTAGCAGTCCTGCTATGCAGGCTAGACCTCAAGCTAAATGCCAGCATACAAACCACCTTGCAAAAGCCTTCTGCTTTGTTCCTTGCATGCTAAACCTCTGTTCACCCTATATCTCATGTCACATTCCACGTTGGTGGTGGAGCACTGCCAAGGCAGGGCGCTGCCGGCGGCGCAGGGGAGTCCTGCTCTCCGCAGCCTCGGCGGGAGAGCAGCTCCCTAAGCACCTGCACCGCCTCCTCCCTGGGAAACGCTCGCTGCTCCTGAGCACGTGGCAGTCCAAGAGAATTACTGGGTGCTGAAGTAAAACCGTTTAGTCAACCACTTTCATATATCACCTGATATTTCCTGCTGTCCCTGAGGTGGGGAGGCTCCTTGTCTGCTTGGGAAGGCTTAACCTAGCTGGTAAGTCAGTAAATTGAGTCATCCCTTGGGAGAAATGCCAGCGCAGATGCAGAGGGAAGGTCCGAATTATCTTTGCATCGCCTGGCACAGCCTGTCTTTGGAAATTTTAACACAAAAGTGTCATTGTGCTAGAGGCAAAATAAATAATGTCCTGTGCAATCGCGGGGAGAAACAGCCTGTTTGGACATTGATAAACTGAAATCTCTGCATAAGCATCTGTCCTCTTCCTTTTCTAGTTAATAGGACTAGTATAACCTGCTGTTCTGCTCCAACTGTGTATGTTAACAGGGCTGCAAGAAAATTAATACCCTGAATTTATACCTCGTGATGCACCTATGGTCTTGAAATGGGAGTCACTGATGCACTTGAGAGGATATTTTAGACCTTTAACTTTTCTCTTTTCACTGCAGGATATCTGAGTTTCTTCATTAACCTAAGTCTTCTAAAAGCCAACAAGAAATCATCAGAAGGGAAACATTGGCCTCATTGCTCTTTCAGTTTCTCAGTATATTTCCATCTTTCAGTAACACTTTCCCCGTAGTACTCAGACCTTAGCAAACCATATCCCTTGTTTTTATTTTGAGGATTTGGGGTTTTTTTTCTAATGATTAAACTATCTCGTTTATAGCATATTTTTTTATCGCTAACACTTAGAAAATTCATATTTTCCCCTTGAGTCATAAGTTGATATATTTCAGAACTGATCCGACTTCTGTTGTAGACCTATGTAATCGTCCTGAAACAAGGTGGCTTTATTCTGCTTGCTACCGTTTCAATAACATTTTCAGCATGATGTGCAATATGAACTTTCATCAATAGATGTAATTGTTTCTGCAGTGACTGAGAATGCTACCTAAAAGTGAACTTTTTTTTCATTCACAGCTTCTACAAGATCTGAAGAGTCTGGTAAATCTCTTATATTTGTAACATTACTTTTAATATGAACAGTTTTATGTTTAAAATATATTTGCATAGTTAAGTTCACTGACAGATTTTAATTGAAAAGGCCAGACATTGCTCTCTTCCCGGTGGATGTGACTTCCGTTTAAAATTATATACCAGCGTAGTCCACATACCAAATATATGCCTGACTTTGTATTCTATTAGTGTTTAACAGCAAATAAAACCAAGAACTCTTCCAAATTACATCCACCTAAATGTTAAGTCTGAATAAATGAGGCTTGGCTTTGTATATACAAAGTCACATGAATGTTCACTCGTAAAGTTCACTCCCAGCAGTACTGCTGTGGACCCTATGCTGCAGAGCTTGAATTATTCAGGAATATTATTGGCTTCAGATAAGGTAGGTATGTGCTTTGGGAGCATGGCCTTGCCCTGCAGACTCTGAAAAACAGCAGCTTCTAGGCAGATAGGAAATGCATGTTCATGCCTAACTAGGGAAATGAGCAATGCTTTGCTGAAATGACCTGCTTTGTACCACCTTCATTCATTGTCAGCAAAATAATCTCTTTGACTGTAAGTATCAGGTAAGATTATGAAGGATAGCGTAAAAGTACAGGCTCAGAGCCAGCAGGGTAGACTGCACCTCTGCGGAGAAGGGCCTGGGGAGCCTGGTGGACAAGCAGCTGAACATGAGCCAGCAACGGGCCTTTGCGGCAAAGAAGATCAATGGTATCCTGGGCTGCATTAGGCAGAGCTTTGCCAACAGGTCGAGGAAGATGATCCTTCCCCTCCACTCAGCCCTGGTGAGGCCACACTTTACTTAGGCTTCCCAGTACCGGAGAAATACGGACATACTGAAGTGAGCCCAGAGAAGGGTCATCAAGATGGTTGGAGGGCTGGAGCACTAGAGGTACAGAGAGAGGCTGAGGGACCTGGGCTTCTTCAGCCTGAAGAAGAGAAGGTGAAAGGGAGGTCTTACTGCTGACTACAGTCACCTACTGGGAGGGTGCAGAGAAGATAGAGCGAGGCTCTTCTCAGGAGTGCCAGCAAATGGACAAGAGGCAACAGGCACAAGCTGGCACTTGGGAAATTCCACCTTGAAATAAGGGAAAAAAAATTATCATGAAATGGTCAGACTCTGGAACAGGGACCCAGAGAGGCTGTGGTATCTCCATCCTTGGAGATATTCAAAACTCCCCTGGATGAGGCCTGAGTAACCTTCTCTGATTGGACTGGCTAGGAGCAGGGGGCTGGACCAGAGACCTCTGCAGGTCCCTTCCAACCCACATGAGTCTCTGATTCTGTCTTTCTGTGAAATGCCCAGGTTCAGTGAAATCCTCTTCTCTCTTTCAAAGTAATGTCAGTGAGGTTGGTGAATGGATGGAACCAATGTGAAGGGCGTGTTGAAGTATTTTACAAAGGAGTCTGGGGAACTGTTTGTGATGATTCCTGGGATATAAGTGATGCAGAAGTTGTCTGTTGTCAGCTGGCTTGTGGACATGCTGTATCATCTTCAGGAAATGTCACCTTTACTCACAGCCCAAGAAATATTGTCATGGATGATGTGCAGTGCAGAGGGAATGAGAACTACCTGTGGGAATGTTCTCACAGGGGGTGGTATAGACAGAGCTGTGACAGCCGGCGAGATGCCAGCGTCGTTTGCTCAGGTACACTCTGATCTCTTTGCTTAATCAAGAAGTGTCACAATAAGAAATACTTTGTTTAATATTCAATTTTACCAAATTGAAAATTGCTCCCCTGAATTAGAATTGTTGTCAGTAACAAGGCTCTTTGCTACACAGAGAATTTCCCTGATTTTATTTTCAGTGTGATCGACATTTGTCATTTCAAACCTGCAGCCAGCTATTCTTCAGAGAGATTTTTGAGAATTTTAAACAGTGTCATTCAAAGTTCATCCACATTTTTAATGCTAAAATCATACTGCTTTTACCTATCTGTAATCTAGCAGTCATTTTTAACCAATTCTGTCTGCTTACTGCCAGACTAGAGAGGAGAGTCAAAAAGCAATCCTGAGGCACATTCTGCCCTTACAGAACTAACAAGCTTTCACATAAGAGACTTTTTGTGAGTTTAAGGTCCTAATCACTCATGCCTTACCTTGACAAAGCTTCTATTGAATTTTTATAGATTGTTTATTTGAGTGAGATGATCAGGGACCAAATCCAAAGGTTTAGAGTCACAATTCTTTGGCAGTACAGGGGCAGGACGCAACAAAAAAAAGAAACCACGACTCTGTCTGGTCCCTTTCAAGAAGGAAGTACTATGCTTGGACTCCAGTTCAACCCTGACAATTTTTCCAATATCTGTTAGATAACAAAAGACGTTGCAGTCTCCTCCTGTTCTCCACCGATTTTCAAGTTGCTAGCAAGGAAAGTCAGTTCTTAAACTCATGTCTCACCATTTTTACCCTATTCAGGACACATATTACAAAGAGTTTAATTACCGTCTTGTTGAATGCTTTCTGAAATGAAAACAGATTTTGCAAAGAAGGGTGAAGTATTATGTTAATAAATGTGTATTTTGTCTATTTTCTCCTTTCACAGCTTCTACAGGAACTGAAATACCTGGTAATTTCAATTTCATATTTATTCAATAATTTCTGTCTTGAAAGAAGTTTACCTAAAACATAAACAAACTTCTTGTTCAAATGACTACCACATTACATCTTATTTAGTTTCTTTAATAGTTTATGCATGAGAAGGGCTTCTTAAAATGTAGTATATTTTGACCACAATGAAAGTCGTTATGTAAATAGTTTTCACGAAGCTAATCACATATTCTTGATTTTTAAGGATGCTTAACAATTGCAATTGAAATGTATATATGTTTGGGCAGAGTACTGAAATGATGGGACCTTTTATGTGTGAAACATCTCCACCGGACCAGGTTCCTAAAAGTCCAAAGTCTTAAAAAAAGGCACTACATTAATTAGTAAATTAATGATTTTATCTACTGGATAGAGTTACCTCAAACACAAAATATCTAGGATGGACTTTTTCTACATTCTAATAAAACTCAAAGGTCCTTAAGTGATATTAAAACATAAGGAGAAAAGATTATTTAGCCACGAGAAAATCATAGTCCTTATTTTGTGGCTTAGACGTGATTAACTTCATCTCTTCATCACACCTGTCTCTACAAGTAAAATCTTGATCCTGCTTCTACTAAATTTAATATTTCATTGCTAATATATCAATAGATAAATGCCCACTAGCAGTTATATAATATGCATCATTCCTTTCATTCTTATTAACCTCATGACCAGAATTAAACTGGGAATAAAAAACTGATTTAAGTAAATGTGAACATCTGCTGAGCCCAAGCAAAAGAGCTTTGGTTCAAACAGTGAACCACAGTGATTGCAAATTGCTGCATGATGACACTAGATCTGCTGGCACTAATGACATTACTCTCCTCATTTTTTCCTGGAGAGTCATATTAAGCACCAGGAGAGAATACAATAGTCATTGTCATATACTGAATCAATTCAAGAATTAATCCAGAATTTTAATTCTTCGGTTTGGCAGCCTACAAAGGCTTATGCCTTTCTCTCCTCTCTTTCCAAGAAGTATCAATGAGACTGATAAATGGCAGGACCAGGTGTGAAGGTCGTGTTGAAGTCTATTACCAAGGAAGCTGGGGAACAGTCTGTGATGATTCCTGGGACATAAATGATGCACAGGTTGTGTGCCAACAGCTGGGATGTGGAAAAGCTCTCTCTGCCCTGGGAAACGCACATTTCTCTCCAGGATCAGGGAGCATTTTCCTGGATGATGTGCAGTGCCTTGGAAATGAATCCTACCTGTGGGAATGCTCTCACAGTGGATGGTCAGTACATAACTGTGGGCACAGAGAAGATGCCAGTGTGCTTTGCTCAGGTACGTTTGGAGTGGATTTATTTATGTAAAATTGTAAATTGTGTAAATTGCAAATCTAACCATCAGCCTGAGAGTAGCCCAGCTGTAAGGCTGCAACATAAGAGGAGCACAGGAAGGCAGAAGTGAGTCAAGAGCCCAACTGTTTCTGTTGTCCTAGGCAGTCCTTCAGAGGTGGTCACTGTGAGCGAGAGGTGGTGATGCACCCCAGGAAAGGCTGCAAGCCTTCTGGTCCTGCATACTCAGAAGATGCTATTAGTGGACACTCCCACATTGGTGGGATACCACCAAATATAGCACAGATATCTAGGTTTCTAAGCATGTGTTTCAGCTGTACCCACCCAAAGCAGTCTCACCAGAACGTTATTTTGAACTTATGTGGGGTTTTTTGACTTAGAAGTCATTCCTAAGGAATAAACTCTTGCTCTGGCATTTCAACACAAGTTAAACTGTTTATCTTGAATAACGTAGGTAAAGACAGATTATAAAAAATTAACCTAGTTTTAGAACAAATTAGGTAATCTAAGACATAGGATCCTAATGACTCGCAGAGAGCAAGCTGAGGTATAAAGTTCTCACCAATTACCACCAGCTACCACAGATTTCTGTTACAGTATTTGTTCTGCTACTGGAAACTAATTATTTATTCTGAAACATAACTGAAGCTTCTAAGGTTAAGTTGTTTGTATTTCTTTCTAATCCACAGCTTCTAGGGGAGTAAGAACACCTGGTAAGTCTTTTCCTTTTTTTAACTGATCATTTTAAGAACTGAGTTACTGAAAAGCACATTTTGCTTTTGTTGATGCAAAATCTTAGGGAAAAAGATAATGTTTATTCAAGGCAGATGGACAACTTCCAAGCTATAGTTTTTCTAAAGATGCGGGTGATTATGGAGGTCTCAAATTTTGGGAAATCACCTTGAAAAAGAGTGTAAGGTGTATAATTAATAACTTATCACTGACCTGGAGATCAGGTACTCTCAGCATACCTCACCACTCAGCAAACCACATTGCAAAGAGATGAAAATCTTGGACATACTTTCACAAATTAATCACAACAGATGTTCAAAGTGTCACACACACATGCCTGCTTAGTTTCCCTAGGAGTCATTCGCAGGGGATGCAGGTTTTCTTGTGAGTCTTCAAAGTTTTTTGCTACTCCAAAGATTCATCGAAACTGCAAAGAGCAAATGACCGCTTATGTGGTTCTTACACAAAATCCAGTCTCTGTAGCTCACTGTTTAGCCATGGTATAAGTACCACATAGCAGCAGAGAGCTGTTTGCCTGCTCCAAATACAGTAGGCAGGCTGCATGAATGGCCTTGCTCTGCAGAATATCTTTTTCTTGAGTCATGTCCATTTTGTAACACAGACCTTCTTCTGGCACAAGTGCAACGTTAGAATCTGGGCTACGTTCAGTTTTCTCCTTAAGTGAGAGTTGCAATTGCTCTGTCTTTGCTAGAAATATCACTGCGGCTGAAGAATGGAGGCAATAGATGTGAGGGACGTGTTGAAATTTATTACAAAGGACACTGGGGAACGGTCTGTGATGATCTCTGGGATATCAGCGATGCTCAGGTCATTTGCAGACAGCTTGGGTGTGGGCAGCCCACCTCAGCACCAGGCGCGGCCCATTTTGGGGAAGGCTCTGGAGTCATTTTCCTAGATGATGTGCAGTGCAGAGGGAATGAGACTTACGTATGGCAATGCTCCCACAGCGGATGGTCAAGACATAATTGTGGCCACAATGAAGATGCCAGTGTTATCTGTTCAGGTACTTTCTGCTCTATTTTCTTCATTTCAAGAATTTTCCATAAGCTGCAGTTTGAAGTATAGCTGAAATATCACTAGGAATTGACTCGATCATGCAGAATTTTTTTTTTTGTTTCACTTCTGGTGGGCTATTAGAGACTTCTCAAACATGAATGTCATACCTGTTCGCCAGCTCAACCCACTGCTGTTCTCTTTGGTCATTCTTACAGGCTTTGCAGAATAAGGAGAAGGAGGAAGATGTACGTTATCTTTAAGGCTTGTGAATTTTTGAGGCGCCTACAAGATATCTTAGCAGGCACCTTCACCTCACAGACGCCCAGTCGCTGTGAGAACTGAGTTCTGCAGTGAGGAGGAGTTATGAAGAAAACCTCTTTTCCAATGAATTTTATCTGTAATGAACTCAAAGTATCAGTGATTTCCCCTGCGGATTACCTAAGATTTCCAAGGCTGAGTATATTGTAACTCAGGTTTTTGACCTTTACTTCAAATAACAAAATATAAACTGTTTCTATTCTTTTCTCTTTATAGACTCTACTAGCATTGATGTACCTGGTAAGAAAACTCTGAGATACACTTTGTTAACTTGATTGACGCAGGATATTTGTTGATTCTGGGGTGAAAAAAAGGGACGCTAAGTCTCCTCCAGTGCAGAAAGCTACTTAGTTCATTTTACATGCCAAACAGTCTCATCTCCTGGAGAGTGCAGCTCCTCCGAGAAGTGGTGTTTCGGGTTTTCTCCCTCCTCTCCGTTCCTCTGGTTCCTGGACCTGATAAGGGAAGAAGGGCTCCATTCCCATTCGTCACAGACTGCTAGGCTTAGCCGTGGAGCCCACAACAATTTAGCCCTGGGACTGAGGGATCCTCCAGAGACTCCAGCCCAAACTCAAACTGCTACCTTTATACGCCCTTTACGTTAGCCAATGGTGGTATTTTCTCAAGTCAAAACAGCCTTTAGAAAATATATTTACATACTGTGTCTAATGATAAGTCATTCTGCCAGTATTCTCTCTTCTGTGCATTCTGTGGGCAATGTAGTAGTCTTGTGCGTTAATTCTCTCTGCATTCTTGGAAACGATCAGCCATTCAAATAAACTGAAATTAAACCTAATTACAATCATATCTATCTAGAAACATTGTCATGAATATAAAATAAGCACAATTCACTCCAATACATGGATTTAGGATGGTCAGTGATGCTTTCCATACGCACCTAAGGCACAGGCTTTATATCATGCATTAAATGACGTGATTATAAGATACTATAAATGAGTAATAAAGATTTTCCATTGCATGACATGTTCACTGCTCACTCCTCTTTTTTCTGTGCAAAGACACAGACTGCATTAGTTGCCCACTGTGCCACTATTCAGTCAGATATCCTCTTTTTCACAGACATGTCAGTGAGACTGGTGAATGGAAGGAATAACTGTGAGGGCTGTGATGAAATCTATTACCAAGGAAACTGGGGAACAGCCTACGATGACTCCTCGGGCATAAATGATGCACAAGTTGTGTGCAGCCAGCGTGGGTGTGGATGTGCCACTTCATCGCCAGGGAATGCCTCTTTTGGGAAAAGCTCTGGGAATATTCTCTTGGATGATGTCCAGTGTGAAGGGCAGGAACGCAGTCTCCAGCAGTGTTTTCACAGAGACTGCAGCACACGTAAATGCATCCGCCATGAAGATGCCAGTGTTGTTTGCACAGGTATCTTCAGTTGCATGTCATTTATGCTACATGCCACACATGAATTATAGTAAAACTATCAGTCTGAAAACATATCAGATGAAAACTGCTCCTCTGCGGTACTTGCCTGCATTGGTGAGGCCAGGAGACACGTTGAGTTTGCCCATGCCTCAGATGTATGCCCAGAGGAACAATTGTACAATCGAGCGTGCAAGCCCCATACATCAGCTGTACAGCAGTTTAGTGACTTGAGCATCCCAGGCACCCGCTGTAACAGTCACAATAGAAAATGAAAGTGCGTTACCATGAATTTCCATTCGGGAGCCTTTGTATTTCCCTGTTAATTTTGCAAGGTTTTTGCTACTGTAAAGGATGATAGGGGCCTAGACACTGTCAATAGTTACACATGTTGCTGTCACAAGAATCAAGAAATTCAACCCTATATCTCATGGCCCATATTACTCACAAATAAAAATACAAGCAATTATGTTCTTTATCTGCCAGGTACTTTCTGCTTTCTTTATGTCAGCTGAAGAGCTGCAATGATTTATATATGACTTGTGACTAAAATATCTATAGGAAAAGATTACAGGAAGGAAAAGTTCCTTCTAGATCACTTAAAGGATAGGTGCTACTTATTACCACGTACTATCAGAGCCGTGAAAAATGAATCCTGTAACTTTGCAGATGTGTTTGCATAGCCTTACATGTCCAAGCCTATGCTGTGAAAAAAATCAGTGTACGGACAAAAAAGATCTGCAAATCTCTGTTACATGCACTTTTTCCCTCTTATACCCAAGCTAATGAGGACTCGTGCAGGGAAGAAAGCTTTACTAACGAATTGCTGTAGCTAGCCTCACTGATTTTTACTGCTCATTTTCTCTCTCTCATAATTGCCTTTACAGTATTGCATAAAGCTAAAGTGAGATGCAACTGACATTGAGGGGTGTGGATTATTATTTGTCTTTTCTTTCCGTAGCGTCTGCTGCCACGGGTACACTGGGTGTCAGTACCATCGCATTTATTCCACTGACAAAAATTTACTTTCTGAAGCTGGACAGTGAAAGAGTATCCCGGCTTTCACCCAGTAGTCCTACTCCATTTGCTCCTCAGTTTTGCTCTTACAGAACCAGGTAAATCCTTGGTTTTTCCCGGCTGCTTTCTCCATAGCACGTAACTCACGACAGGACTCTCTGGCGCGACATACATTTATAACTCCTTCTTCTGGCAGTTTCATTTAGCATGTGTTAAAGCATACCGTTTTCCAGTTTAATCCTGTTATCTTCCTTCATGGTAATCCGACATAATGAAATTTTGTCTTCCCTATGTTGTTAATTATTCATGTCATCTTTTTTCATTAGTAACTAACGAAACAAAGATAGTACTATCTATCATTATTATTTCCAACAAATATATATCAAAATCTGATGCAACTTTGTATCTATATCTTCCATACGCGATGACAGCGATCTTATGAACCAAGCCCCAAGGCAACGCTTGCATGAATTTCCTGAGGAAAATCTGGCTGAGGCCCAGGCGGTGCCGGCCGGGGGCTGTGGTCCCACGAAGCGCTGGGTACGGCCCCGGCTCGGGCCCGTGCTCCTCGATAGGGTGCGATGCCAGGGGGTGAGCCAGCCCGGGGCAGTGCCCCACGGGAGATGTTGGTGTCCTCTGTTCTGCTCCTGTCTGGCCATTCGTGTAAAAGAAAGGGCCTCTTGCAACCAATTCTTAGCATCTTTAAAAAGAACTATTGGATGGGTGACTAGAGTAATCTGGTGGCAGGGACTGTTTTCCCTCTAATATCACACAAATATCCTTGGGTTAGGCTCCCGCCTGGTATTTCTCCAGAGAAGCATTTGTGAGTTTCCCTCCTCTGCCTGTTTCTCTTCCTCCTTCACTGAATACTACGGACTGCTCTTGAGAAGGAGTATCAGAAGGGGTAAACAAATTAAGTCTGTGGAAATGTTGGCTCATGGTACTCATCTCTCTTCTTCAGTGATTTGAGCTTTGATGACTTTAATTTGGGAGTTAATCGGGGTTTGGCCATTTATGTGCTGTCTTTTGTGTTGTCTCTGTGTGCCTTTTAAATAAGTAATGTATTCGTTATTCATACTCATAGACACTCTGAGTCAAAACCCTCAGAAATCACTCATCTTCAGGTCTCCCCAAACCTTCCGGAGATAAAGCTGTGAATAGAAATCCACCTTCCATAGCTGGACCTTATCACTGCCTTGAACCAAACTTTGAGAAAGTCAGCATTTGGTTAGGCTGTGTGCTTTAGTGACTAATCCAAATATCTCATTGCATTGGTTTTACTCGCTGTCAAATTCTAAATAGAAGATGTTTAAAGGCAGCATTAGTCACACCTCACTCTCCGGCACTCCCAGTGGGCATACTGCACTAGAAGGCCATTTCTGTTTTCTTAATAACAAAAGCTTAATTGGAGACAATCTCTGGAACCCATGATACTTTGCATGACCCCTGCAGAGATCAAAAGGATTTGCTAGAAGCTGAGAAAAACCTCTTTATTAAGAGAGCACCACTGTCCATGTAAATGTTAAAGTAGGATAATCTGCAGGATTATAGCACATGCCAAGATAAGCAACCTGTGTTGACCTAAAATCTTAGTCAATTAACTTAGCTGGGTAACAGGATGAAGTGACCTGCTGTACTGTGTGCAGAGCCAAGTCCACTGATACCATTTTCATTGGCCTAGCCATCATCTCTGACAAGGATTTTTCCCCACAGGGGTGTGACTGGGCTTTCAGAGACTAGATGATGACAACCTTATACCAAGGCAATACACTTCTGGGAATAAGAAGCAGTACTTAGTACTCAATATTCAGTTTTGTCCACAGAAGATGACTTCATATGTAAGGTTTACACTCTGTTTTACCAGTAGATTTACCGTAAATGTGGGGAACCCGTCTGAAGGTCACATTATTGTGTAGGTTTCTTTTGGTTTGTTTTTAAGTGCACAAAACATACCTTTCACTTAAGAACTCATGGGATTGAATTTGGTAGAATGGCTGGCAGAGAAAAAGAACGGAAAAAAGAAAGAATTGAAAGAATATATATTCTAATTATAAGTGAGAATGTCTGGACAGCTAAGTGATGAATATGAGGGTACCACATGCAACCGTGTGGTAGCTTCATGTTGCCAGCATAGGTAACAGCAGCAGCGAAAATACGGCATCATGGGCCTGAATAGGAGCCAGCAACCAGACAGAGCACATACCCAAGGTCTCCAAATCTCAATAGATCATTGCATTTAGAAATGCACAGCATACCACAAAGCTGTACAACAGCTAGTCATCATCCTTTGTCAAATACACAGTAAAGCCACCCGAGCCCCCCCTGCTCACATGTACGCAGGAACAGGCACTGTTATTAGGTAATGTCTGTTACTCCTGAGGGAAGTAGCAGCAGGGACTGAGGCTGGGAAAAGTGGAAAAAAAAAGTCTTTGGCTCCCCTGCTTGCCCAGCTTTCCTATTGCGTCTATTCCCCCTTTGTTTTTATAAGCCCATAAATTCGCTCAGAGCAGCCAGGATTCCCAGAAATGTTCCCAGACCATTCACAAACATTCCCAGAAATGTCTAGAAATGCATAAAAACTGTAAACACTGAGGAGTGAGAAATGCTATTTTAGGTAAAGGACAATGTTAGTTCCAGAGTGGATAGGCATACATAACACAAGTTTAGGCTGGAAGATAAAAGTAGGTCCTTTATTCTCAGCAGAGTGAGACTGTGGGACAGCTTTTCAATGGGATTAAGGGTGCAAAAGCCATTTTCAGTTTAACGTGCAGCTGAAAATAGATATGGAAAGGTTTGTGCAGTTGATAGCCAACATATTACAAACAGTGACTTAGGAAGTCTATTGCAGACCAATGCTCCTATTATAAACACAGTAAAAACTGACTAACTCGTCTTTACCAGTCCCCAGAGCCTCCTTTCACTGCTCCCTTTTGCCACCACGCCAAGGTCTTGTGACCAGCAAGGGCTGCACACCGGGAATGCTGGCAGACATGGACCCCAGCAAGTAGTGTGCCCTCGCAGAGCATGCCTCCTCCTCCTCGACGCCGTGCCCGACTGCCGTCCCCATGCTGGGCTGCGGCATGCACGGGCAGCTGGTGCATGCCGGCTCCCTCCTGCCTGAGCAGAGGTGGCATTCTGGCCCCTCCCGGACGTACCTGCGCAGCTCTGGCCAGGACAGCATGGGAGGAGAGGAGGAAAGTGGGAGTAGGAGCGAACTGAGCCAGAATCTCCATATAAACCAAATCTTCTAATCAATGACATCTCCAGTTGTCATATTTAACTATATCACTTTATTTTAAGCTTCAAAAGACTCTTTTTTCTTAAAGAAAAAAGCAATTGCTTACCTGGTTAGCTGAAAGCTGCCTTGGGTGTTCCTATACTGCACTGCAAACACCTCTGCTATGGCAGGGTAGCAGACGTGGCTACTACCATATTGTTGGGAATGGGATTGGACATAGGTGAGCATAAAAACAGGATCTGTTACATAGGAAGTAGTCTCAAAAGGGTAGTAAGTATATTTACAGGCAGTGGGAATCTTTCATTACATCTCTCCTCAGAGCAATATGCAATGAAACATGAACCAAACTCTGCACACTTAGCTGTAATCTATTTTTTTGCTCAAATATAGCTAGGAGAAACACTGGGTCATGGGCTAGCCAAGTCCCCAAGCTGACTCAAACCAAGGATAAGTACATGACAGTGTTATGGTAGTATTAGAATTTGTCTTTTGGTGAATTCTTCCGGTTTTGCTGCTATTAGGTTGTGTGTAATCTATGACTGTTGAGTGAACTTAAAGTTATGAAAATGACCAAAACAAGAATCGGACCTGTGTTTTTCTACAGTTGACAATTGCCATTGTTGAGAAAGACTACTGCTTGCATCAAGGAACATCAACAAATATATTACTGTAGCATGAAGCAAAAGTGCACCATTTTGTGGGTTCACACACTGGCATTTTGCTCTGTTTTCAAGGAAGAAGAAACATGAAGAAGTAT